ATATATATAGAGAGAGAGAGAGAGAGAGAGAGTAAGTAAAACTTTAAAGAATTTTTAAATTCATTGATGTAACTTTCTATGATAGTGACATACATATTCCATAATAGTTCAAGTCTTCTATCCTTGATCTCAAATATATAATTTTCTTCAATATTTCATGCTAAACATTCCAATAAATCATGAGAAATGCACTATTTATGATTTTATACATTTGCAACTATTCCAACTCATTATCATGTGTTATTCTTATGGGTATTTTGAAATTAAATCAACCTATATGAATAAAATGTTAAATAGTTCTCTCATTAGTGTTTTGATAAATTTCCCAATAAATTATAACCTCATTGTACCAACCAGATTTTGTATATATTATATTAAATTATAGATGATAAATTTTCTACTATGAAACTATGGTCAATCTTCTGGTTTTTTTATAAACTATTAGAGATTAGTACTGAGCTAGAAATGGCAACTATGAAAACCGTTACCATTAGAGTTCTTAATGCAGCAAGAAAGCTAGAGATTTATATCATTCATATCAAAAGAGAAGAAAAAATAAAGTACCAGCTTGTTCATCCAAGACATACGCCTTGCTGCTGAAGTGACGGTTAGACCACCATCTACAACGAAGCCTCCAAGCTTTTCTTGATTCATGTCCCGCAAATGCTTGTGGAATTGGATTTGAAGATAAAGAAAGAGATGCATGTTCACAGTATTCACTACCATGTTGAATTATCGATAGTTGATCCACATCAGGTTGAGAGAGAAGTGTACCTTGAAGACTCAGGAAACATGAGGCCAGCTGCCCCCAAATATAGGATGTTCCATATGCAGCATCCAAATGCAACACTATCATCTCCAAGAGCTGTTGTACTTCATACTTCCCTAGGGAAGGGGGGAGAAGGGGCAGAGAGAGAGAGAGAGAGAGATTGATTGATTTATTTAGGAATGGTTGCAAAAAATAAAATATTCAAAATAATTTACGCATGAGTTGCCATGGCATAAGAGTAAGACTGTCCCAAGAGGTAGACTAGTTAAAGATATTTTGAGAGTATAAAAAGCATATCTGCCAAGTTCCAGATAAGATAAGAAAAGATAACCAAAACAGATGTTGTGCACGACATAAGACCATGATAAATAAACATATCAAAGGCCCAAGAGCTAAAGGAAAGCTCTAGCATCTGCCATGGTCGAGTTGCTGATCCCTATAGGAACCCCAGAAGACCATAAAAATCTGCATTGAGAAGAATGCCAAATCATACACACATGTACCCACTGGTCATGGGAGAGGGCTTGGTGAGAGGCTGAGAGCAACGCCATCTGTTTGCTGAGCCCGTTGGTTACAATGATTAGTCCTTGAACCCTTAAAATGTCATATCCCTTTGAAGCTCTATTTCCCAACCGATTAGCTTCATAAAACACTTAATAATTCATGTTTGACCCCCACTATATTTGAATAAATAAAGAATTGCCCCGCTAGTACTTTGTAGACAGAAGAAAGTTAAATGACTTTGTCTTTTTGTACAAACTTCTGCCTTCTGAATAAGATATCCAGTTGCATCAAACACATCTAATCAGAGATTGTGAATTTTAGATGTATAAGCAGAGTATCTTGCATTAAGGACACCTGAAGCAATAACTACGAAAACATACTACAGCAATGATCGGTACTAAGTGCCCTCATAAACACTTGGCTGTTTTTGGTATTCCGCTAACAAAAAGAACTGCTAATCATGCTGACCGCATTCCGGAAGTATAGCTTTTCACTTGGATGTCCTTTGGGGATGATCCAAAGCTCAAATTAAAAATCTCTTCTAAATATACGCCTTTACCCCATGTTTTTCCTAATTTGGGCATCTCAGACTCCAAATCATGGTAAAAAAACTGTTAAGATAGTTACTGACAAACTTTAAGATTAATTAGGTTTAGGTTTATTTAAATAGGAAGTTTAGAGTTCTTTTTTATTTTTAACAATGATGTTTGGACCGGACCGGACTGGCTGGTTTGAACAGGGAAACCGGTGGGCATCCCGGTCGATTCAATCCCCTGAACCAGAATGTTCATTGAACTAGCGCTGCACGGGTGGATGCATTTTCGCTTTTTCTAAGTTTGTGCATTTTTTGTTCTCTTATTTTTATATGAAAAAATTGATTTCTCATCTATTTTATATGTTGTTTAATTACTAAATTCCTCTAAGGGAAGTAGTGAACCATGGAATTTGTTCCCTAGTTTAGAGTTTGTGTTTTTTTGTATTTTCAGCTTTGTTTACCATGTCTACTGATATTTATAAGACTAATGAAAGAAGGAATCAATTTTCTGGGTTTTTCTATATATTTTTCTATTTTTCAGGTTCTTCCTATTTTTTATTTTATTTTATTTTATGGCCAGACTAACAAGTGAACTGGTCCTGTTCAACCAGTCTGACTGAGCCGGTGCCCTCACGGGTTTGACCTCTCTAGTCTTAATGACAGTGACTTTTAGTAACATGTTCTTTCCAAAAAGTACAAGATAGTTTTCCATTTTATTAGAAGAGTCTAGAGGATAGTCGTAAAGGTCTAGTTTCCTAAACTAGAGCAGACTTAAAATTGCCAAATTTTAAAGAAGTTGGAGTTTATAGAATTTAGAAAAGTTATGACGAATAACTTGAGTCCCAAGCTAAGACAAACAAGGGAGTCTAAATACCTATGTAAGACTGTGGTCAACACATGTTTGAGTACAAATTTGGATTTTCAATTGATGTGAGTGATCACCTTTAGAGGAGAGATTAGTTAACTCTTTTTGTAAAGAGATTCTACAATCCTAGCCTAGGATCAGGAGTCTCCCCCAAGGTTAGAGCCTTTAAACTTCTTTATTCCTTTCCAACCCATTACTTACCCTTGCTGGACTTGCAATTTTCCAGAAACTTCAACCCATTAACACCTTCTAAACCTAACCCTACTTGTTTTCCAAATCATATCTAACCCTTCATTCACCTTACATTCGATCATACCTAAGTAAGATCTTAATTTCCCTAATCCTATTCAAACTAGGAGACCTTGATACCCCCATAACTTTGCTGTGCCCCATTTTCAAGTCCACCTCACGTATCACACTCCTATAGGCGCCAAGCCCCCTTAGTCCCACCAAACTATCATTAAGGGTGAATGCTAAAGCTATTAAGTATATATATCCACCTAGAAGGTGGTCAGACAAGCGCAATTAGAATTAAGAACACAAAAAGGCAATCATATAGAGAACTGGGATAAAAATGTTCCCTAATAGATGTGAAGCATTTAAATTTAACATCCCAAACTCAGTTCCCAGATAGCAGCCAAACCTTCAGTATACATATCAATAAGGTATAGTACTGATTCTTCTGATGTCGGATCCCTTTGTAATACATCCTCATGGCATCTACGTATTAAAGCTGAATTTTCTCTGCAGAAGCACTCCAGAAGACGTACCCTTAATCTGCAAATGACATGCATATAAATACATCCATCAGCAAGGTAAAGCAATTTTTCATTCATTTCCAGTGACTTCAGTCCATACCCTTAGTGTGCGTGGCAGCACAGAAAACTACCAAACTAAAACAGAAAATTGTTCTCTTAAAAACAGAGGGCATACACAAAATAATTTGCCAGAAAAGAGAAATGAAAGGATCAAAGTTCCCTCTTAAAAACAGAGGGCATACACAAAATAATTTGCCAGAAAAGAAAATTAAGGCTCAAAGTTCCCTTCCAGTAACAACCACGAGCAGACATCTGAGGTTCCTTCCACATGAATAAAAAAATTGCTGGTGCACAACTAGGCAGTTTATAATTGCACAAGGCACGATGTAGAAATGCATGAAAGTCATAAAAGGCAACAGACAGGGTAGTTCATTAACATCAAAAATAGAATTGAGACCCAGCGCTACTGCTAGAGTGCAAGAGCCATAGAATTCACTAATCACTTTCAGTCAGATCCTAACCAACATAAATCATAAAGTTGTCACTGCATCAATATGACAAATAAAAATGTTTCACGTCCCACTATAAACAACAAACTACTAGCAGGACTATAATTTTAGCCCAAGGTTTTCACTAGACGTTCTAAAATAATTAATTAAAAATAATGTTAGCCCGGCATTTTCTTGGGTCAATATCTATCCACACAAGGTTTGAACAAGTAAACCTGCAATAAGTTTTAATACAACTGCACCAATTTAGGAAGTAATCTTATAAAACTGCACGTTGTAAACCCATCAAATCAAGGAGATGCTGCAACCAAGACAACTCCAAAGAGGGAGAAACGACCATGCACAAGCAAACAGGAACCCTTTCGGGAACAATACTGATTGTTAAGGAAAGAATCATCAATGTCTTGTGAGGCAGAGCATTGTGTATGGCAAGACGCTAAGAGCCCAGTAAATTAGTGAGAAATGGTTTAGCTATTCAGGGATTAACAAGAAGGTTACAGCTTGGCATCTCTTAATACCAATGTTCCTCTTTGCAGTTGCGAAGTTGTATCTAAACTTTAAATAAAAAGTGAAATATTTTATCTGAGTTCCAAATATTAAAAAATAATGATTACTATGTAAGAGTGAAGTTCTGACATTCAAAATAATCTAAATGACTGAAATTGCATAAATTTGTGTTCCAAATTTCAATAGTGAAAATGATATGGGGAAGTTCATGTATATACAACACATGTGGTGTAGTTCCCTGTTTGTTCTTATGCAACTAGAAAAATACCAATGATAGGCTTTCAAGACAAGAACATATTCTTGGGAACATAAATGGATTTAACAATTTTACAAGCCCCAAAATAGTTTTGTCTATTTAACTCTTTTGAATACTAGTTTATTTGTAATTGAGGATCAGAAGAGTCCTTAAATTTCCTCAAAAAGATTGAATGCAAAAAAATTAAGAAAAACCCCTGCATGATTTCATATCAATAAAATAAGTAGGTATCCCAATTCCAAAATCATCTAAATCAACATATTCACCTGCAAAGCTTGGCTAAGAAAGGCTATTCTATAGTGAATCACCATATTCTAGCAAATTGGCCATAGAGGACCTAACTCAAGAAAGTGATGATTTGAAAGATACATTTTGCATGGGTCCTAATTGAATAGAACAGTTTAGGCAATAACTCACAAATTTTAAGTCATTGATTTGAATTTATTAAAAAAACCATTGATTATAATTTAGATTGTTAAATCCAGATTATCTTGTCAAACCAAATATGGCATTCTTCTTTTGATTCTAAAATTTTTGTAATGCATCTCATTGTACAAGTAATAATAAGAAAAGATTCCAATTTAGATTGTTATATCCAGATTATCTTGTCAAACAAATATGGCATTCTTCTTTTGATTCTAAAATTTTGTAATGCATCTCATTGTACAAGCTATAATAAGAAAAGATTACCATAGAGCAGATGGTAGGATCTCAACCTGCTAAAGCTTATGATACTTAGAAGTAACACTAATGAAAACATAGAAATATTTTTCTGTATAATGAAAACAGAAATTATGTCACCGGTACAAAGTTAGCTCCAAAGACCTATTTGGTAATATGAAATCTGAATTATGACAAAACTCCTTCAGCACCATTAAGGCCTCCTGCGCTTGATTCCCGAGCAGCAATAGCTGAATATAAAACAGCAGCAATGAACAGTCAACAATTAGTATTGATATACACCCAATCATTGTTCGAAAAATTGGCCAGTCCAACTAGGAACCAGCTGATAAAACCGAAACCGGCCACTAGCTGAGCCGATTTTGGCCAGTTAAGGTAGTCCGGCCGGTTATTTTAAAAAACAAATCAACAAAAATACATATAAAATCCCAAAAATAAGGGATTTGTTTGTAATGTGTTTTTTAATGTTTTTCTATCATTTTGGAAAAGATTGGAATGTTTTTGGTGCATAAATACTTATTTTTACATTTTTCCTTCTTTTTAGATTATTTCTAAAATACTCCTGGGCAAAAATTGATTTTTAAAATCCATTTTTTTCACTACTTTTCAACTTCATTTGGATGTGTTTTATTTAATTATGCATTAAATATATTTTTCACATTTTCTGGCTCATTTTGTATGTTTTTATTTTTTTAACACTTTTTGGCCTGCCCGAGACCTGCCAGGTTAGGCCGAGTGAACCGGCCAGTTTCCGGGTCCGGTTCAATTTGTCGAACACTGATCCCAATAAATAATCCTGTGAGGAGAGCAGGAACATTCATCAATAATTAATCAAATGGAAGATACATAAAGCCCTCAAACAAATATGTATGATTTTATTAGTTTCCACCAAAGAGAAATTATGAGAAGGCACTCATTTCAAATAATAGTTCTTATTATGAAATGTTAAAACAGTCATCCCTGAGATGTGATTTGGCCTTCCAAAACTAAGCTAGCTTGTTTTAAACTTTTCTTTTAATTAATTTAGCATCTTACCAAAAAAAAAAATTTTTGAGGAAAGAACGGATGTTTTATAAGCATAGAGAAAAATAATAAAGCCATCACGACACCCATAAAGAGTCCAATCCAGGAGCTACTTTACCATAGCAAAACCAACGGTTTCAATAAATCCTCTGTAACAATAGACCCCCTAGTATAACTCTCAGACCAGATCTGGACATATTGGGTAACCACAAATGCTAGTTCATAGGTTGAGATTTGTTGACTTTGTATATTATTTAACTGTAAAGAAACTATCTCACCTTGTCTTGGCAAAAACTCGAGTTTTTGACATTCTGAGTAGTAGCCAAGAAAAGCTTGTGAATATCCCCTCAATAGTTCACTTGAGTACAAAATGGAAACACAGAGACAGAGAATCTTTGCAAAGACACTCAAAATAACTAGTACTAATACGCACCCAAAGTATACCACTAATGGAAGCATCTGATTTAACTGAAAATTACAACGATACACTTACAACAATACACTGATAAAACCAATATTCTATAGGTTGTAGAGCAAAAGGACATAAAGTATACCTGTATCAAAGGAAGTAAGGCAGCCAATACCGGGGGCTTTGAGTATAGAGCGATTCGTAAGTGTTTCACAGCTTCATTATGATCATCATTTGTCAACACAATGGGATACTCTCCACTTTCCAATGATGTTTGAAACTGTAAAGGCAACAAACTTGGTCCCAAACCTGACCAAAAAACAAAATTTGATGTTAATAGTCCTAATGTCTAAGTTCAAGACTATATACCAAGGTTAAATAGAATAGTCTACTAGATCACAGCTCATCACAAAGGTCCCCAACTCAAATATCCTCCATAGCAGAAAGAGAAATAGGGGAAAAAAGGATAAGTGAACAGATCTACTCAAATCAAGCTACGATGGCAAGATTTTTTTCTTCTGGTGTGGTGAGACTGAAAGAAGAAATTGAACCTGATTTTTCATGCTCGAGTCAAAATGCTCCAATACGACAGGACTATGGCACTTTAACCCACTATGGCAAGCATGTCCACAACTCATATTACAGATTATATACATTGATTTCGCAAGACTAACCACAAAATGCTCACTAGAGGAGACTAGGACACAAGTAAGAATAGTCAGGTCCCCTGACCATACAACCTAAAGATTACATATAAATATATATACAACACAATCCAAAATATTAGACATGGGGGACAAGAGACTACAGCCAACTAAAGTAGCCTGGTACACATTGTTGGCACCACGTCAGTGACAGAAATATATGCATATTTAGAGGTTTTGAATATAGAAAAGCAAAATAAGTGCAGTACAGCTTGGCCAAGAACATGAGCTAGAAAAAGGCCAGCATTTAGTTACAGCTGCAAGTGAGGTGGCAATCTACAAAAAATCAGTAAAGAGAATACCTAAAATAACAAATGCCACGAGAGAACAACAGAGAGAGAGATAGAGAGAGAGAGAAACACACATACACGCACACGTGCACACACAAACAGAGAGACAGAATGTCAGCTTTAAAAGTACAGTTATTACAAGTCTTGTGCAGAAGTGATCTCTGCAGTTCCTGGAATGAATCTTGTAATGAAGTGGCCAAACTAGTACAAAGTGAATCCTTTGCTTAAATAGTCATGTATTGCAAAAGAACTTCAAAGTTGTCGAGTAAATACAGTCGTTTGATCATCTAATTGCATATAGCTAGATAGCATTCATTTTTTAATTTTTCTTCAGTAAATCTAGATGAATGCATGTCATGGCCCTTAATTTCTTGTATTTATGCCTGCATTTTATAAATTGGTTCATACACTGACGGTTAAACCACAGCATAAACAGCCAGGGGTCCACATTATTATCATCCTATGTAGAATGCACTGTAAAAATCAGTTTCTAGGATGGGCAATAGTCAGTAGCAGGGCAGCGAGATACTTTTCAAGCTTTGAAATCTCTAAGGTTCATAATTTTATTCTTATAGTTATATAATAGAAATCGAGTCCTATTTGAATATACAATAGAAGTTAATCTCATACAAGCAAAATCCATAAATTATACCCTTAACTGCAGCATGTAAAAAGAAATTTGTTTCCAAAAATGCCTCATGTGTTTGTATGGATTGGAGAAATTGTAAGCATATTCCCAGCATCCTCACAAAAGCATGTGCCAATAAAAGCAGAAGTTGAAATACATATATCAGATGAAGATTGACAAACTAGTTCGAGTCCACAGAATAACATAAAAAAAATCTACAAGCTAGTAACAGTTATAAATTCAAGCAATCAACTACATTTTCAAGGTACTAAAAGTGATTGTTTTTCACATCTAGAAAGTAATAGGAACTGCATAATAAGCAACTATTCACAATCATTTAACATAGGATACAGTGCACTACCACATTGTACATGAGTTGAAACATTTTACTCTTCTAGTAGGAAACAGATCCAGAGTACGTGGAAGGAAAACTCACGAAACAATCATTTTACATATGATACAGTGCACTACGACATTGTACATGAGTTGAAACATTTTACTCTTCTAGTAAAAAACAGATCCAAAGCACAAGGAAAACTCACGAAACAAGTCGTAAATAGAAATTCCTTCCGAAATTTCATCCTCAGCAGTGGAATAAACCTCTGTAACACCAATTTCCTCTTGCCCCGCAGAGTCATAATTTTGTAACATAAGAATCGGAGCAATTTCTAGTTTGGGAAATTCACCACCAGAGGAGTCATGTGGTACTTTGTCCATACAAATAGAGCTATCAGAATCAAACACACAATCAACTCCCCCTCCTGAAATATTCGCCAAAGCATGATGATTTGAAGTGTTGACTGTTGGAGAATTCCGAGAGTTGACTGTTGCAGACTGTTCATTAGAGGCACTGCTGAGGTCAGGCTCTAAACAAAGTAATGGCATGTCAGCATCAGAAGCCCTAAAGTGCAACTCTTCCGGAATACCAGAATACCAACGGTGATATAAAATCAACCCATGGATCATGTTTACGAGAGGATCGCGTCTAGATTCAGATTTCAGTACAAGTCTGAGAGAAAAAAAAAGTCTTAATGAACAGTAATCACAAATGAAATTTTCTTAAATATCTCCCTTAAGGAAATGAAACTTAGAAACAAAATAATCAAATTCCTATATATAGAATATATGAGACTGCATATACATTACAAAAAGGTAATAATTCTTTTTCATTATAAATATCATTTAGCATTAAGACATACAAGTAGGTACCCAGAATAGCTGGGTCAAATTGTTCATGCCATTCCAACCAGATCTCCACAAAGAACAAGAAAGGATAGTCTTAGCCTAATCAAGCCAAATAACATGATGAACAACCTCTTATGCGAGTCTGCACACACACACACACACAGAGAGGAAGGGAGAGGTAGAGAGAGAGACGCAGAGAGGGGAGGTCTGGAATAAGGGAGGCAGCCACTTTTCTTTTCTTTTCCTTTTTTTTTTTTGGTGAGGGGGAAGGGGGGGGGAGAAGAGTGGGAAGCCACTTGATGTATTGGAGGGAGGGAGGAGCCACATAATGTATTTGGTTAGAACCTCCACCAGAAAATCAAAGCAACTATTTATATTGGCGAGAATAATGGAATATTAAACTGAAATCACATAACTGGGATCCAAATTTGCCATCAATTCAAAGTCTTATATTCATCTCTATCTAAACTAATAATCCCCACAACTGCTTATGACATAAAGCATATTGTCCCAATGAAAGAAATCTATCATATTCGCTACAGTAAAGTGATAAAGGCAAGAATATCCATCTCTATCCTACATATGACTATTGTTTCACTACAAACGGTACAGAAAATAAAAAATCATTGATTTCAAAAGGTAACCATCAAACAGATATAAAATCCACAGGGTGCACATTCTTCCTTGCAATTTACATGTCAAAATCACCAGTACAATATATTGCAGTTTCTTAGAAACATAAGAAAATACCAAGCCTAATTTTAAATCCTTCATTATAATTCAGACTGAGATTTGTAGATTTCTCAAGCGTCAAAATCCAAAAGGCGAGCACAATATTGGTTGGAGAAGGCGAAGTACAATAGGCATAGGCAAATGAATTGGAGTATCAATGAATGCAAAGGTAGCAACGCTCCTAGGAGCCTTAGGACATTTACAGTGTCATTCTCTGGCCACTGACAATAGCACAGATATTGTGAATGTGATAAGGGCATCCCCTGGTCTGTAGACATATATATCTATACGAATGATTTAGAGGAATTCTGGAGAATACGTGCTTTCTGGATAGCTTATTCCAACAAATACGGAGGCCACAATGAGCATGTTGGATGTGGTTGACGGAGAAGGATACAGTCCCCCAATTTGAACTTCACACTGAATCTCTACTACTAAATCTTTCATAAACCAGCAACTGAAGTTAACTGTCCAAATAATGTATGTTCAGCCCATTTTCAGAGAGACTCGAGCAATAAAATAGGCCAATCAGGAACAATCCATTATTTATTCATACTAAGGAACCTATGTGAGGACAATCAACAAAAACCCAATCACACATGTTGCTTTTAATAAACTACAGAACTTTAAATTAATGGCACGATTTGTATAGAGCCAAGGCCATAAACAATCAAATTTTAGCCCATCTTCAAATAGTGTCGAGAAATGTGGTTTCAATACCGGATATCTTTGACTAGCCTTAAAATATATTTTCATCTTTAATTATAAAATTTAAAGCTTCAAAAATAGTGTAGATCGAGCAAATCTATGAAAACTTGAATAACTTAAAAATTGACAGTCCAAAAATTCGCTACTAGATGCACTATTTCCAAAACTTGAAATCCATTTTTTTCTCAAGTCCATGCATCGTGATGTCAAGATGATCAATTTGAGGATATTTGGGTATCAAAACAACCTCTTCTAGTGAAATTTTTTAGGTAGGCTCTAATTTGATTGTTTAGAGCCTAGGCTCTATATAATGGTACTAATATAGAAAAAATATGAGAAAAGAAGAAGTTTCTACAAAGCGTCCCAAGATCATGAAAGCTCTGTGCAGCAGAAAACAAAGTAGTAAAGAATCAACCAATTTTCAGTAACCTGATTTAAAAAGAGTGCAAAATGATATGTTGATAAATAAGAGCAAGATACGTACATGTTTGAAATATTGTATGCCTCCTGGATGTTCCCTTGAGCGAAGAAGTGTAAGGCATACTCCAAACGAATCAGATAAGAATTCTGCCCACATATTGATATCCATTGGAGTAATATACAAGATAACAAAATTAAAATAGAACTCTATACCTTGTATCCAGTGTGATTTGCATAATGAACTAAGTGATGTGTACAATATTTAGTTCAAATTGGCTTGATTGCATGAGCACAGGGCCCTTGCCTGCAACTATTACAGTCTAAAATACAAATGGGTATTTGATTCACATAAAATCAAAGCCAACCCCAAGTAGTTGGGACTCGGATGATGATGATAAAATCATTGTTGAACATGTGATCTTTAGAGCAGAAAAACTTAAAAAAGCATATGTGATGTCCCATGGCAGGAGAAGAAACCCCTGAATTTTTAGAAGTACAAGAAAAAGTCATGTGTTGCTCCATAACATGCCAAATTGGTAATTGCTGCATCAATTTGTTGGTAAAAACAATAATATGAAATAAACACAGGGTGGAAAGCAGGTCCCAATCCATCCACCACATAATATTCCTGTTGTATCAAAAGAATCATGATCACATGTAGCAGGGTGGTCTTTCCTTAAATAAAGGCCTGAAATGGCTATTGCTTCGCTATAAAAAATACGCTACATTTTTTCCCTGGCTAAACAGACTGTTTTTCCTAATTCCAAATAACTATGTAGATCGATAATGGTCCAAATATAAATAATAAAGCCAATGAATCAAATGGAAATGAAGGCGGCATCATAAATGAGCAGCCTATGAACTCTTTTCATAGGTAAATTGAAAAGTAGATAAACTTTTGCTTCTGACAAGAAAAATGCATTAAAGATGGATTACTTAAGTTAAATCAAGAAAAATGAATGAAAGCTCAGCTGAGAACTACCAGAAGCCAGCTGAAAAACAATGGCGAGTAAAAAACACAGATCCAATAACTACAAGCGGGTGAAAGAGATTGCAGAGGGCACATGAACAATATAATAGGGGGAAGGACAGAGAAAATTTTCTTGCATGTGAGGGGAGAAAAAAGATTGTGATAGGAAGGTTAACATGCTTGAAGGACAAAGAGTAACCACCAAGACTGCCACACAAGTCAGAATTAATAGAAGACTCGACTTATGCGCCTTGAACAATATATCTTATCAAGTTTATACCACCTTTATATGAATGTTTTAATATAATTTCCTCATAAACTATCATCCAATTAAGTACCACTTTAACTACCAAGAGGAGCTGATTACAATGCCCATAAGGTAAAGACAGAAAAAATATTTTCAGAAAAACATAATCCATAAAATTTGAGGATTAGGGATTAGGTTTCCAATGAAGTTAAGTTTCAGTGAAGATAAAGTTTTCATAAAAGAAAGAGCTTCCCTACCCAATAAAACTTCATATTGTACATTTCCATTAACTTAACATCTAAGAAATATTTACTCCAGTGTGTATAAAAATAAAAATATTATTAAAGGGAAAGTTTTCTTCTCCAACATGATATCCTAATAAATATTTCCACTTAAGTTGCCAATGAAAGCATTCATTGTAAGAAGAGATAGAGATATTACAGAAAGAGATAGAGATTCAATTGGATTAGGAAGTGGGTTACCCTAAACCAATGTTCACATAAGTCAGATGCAGCAGCCTAGGCAGCTGGGTGGCTGCCTAGAAACATAAGTGGCCCTATAGTTGGAAAAAAAAGGGGGGCGGGGGCTACTATTAGAATAGTGTGAATAGATGATGGAGAAGTGCTATTAAAATTTTCACGGACAAAAATTCAAAAAATTGGGTAATTTTTTGAATATTTTATAGTGAGTCGTATATTATATCTTCCTTCTCAAGGTGCAAAGCTAGGGAGAAAAAAAAAAAGGAGATAGAGGAAAGGGTTTCTATGATGTTAATGGCAGTTATGCTAGACCATACTGTTTCTCTCTCTTAATCCTTTTTTTTTGCAACACCATGCTGTTGTTTGTAGGAATTGGGCTTGGGCTTAGGCTTGGGCTTGGGCTTGGGCTTGGGCTTGGGCTTGAGTGGTTAGCAGTTGACGTTAAGCAATGCTACATCTCAAGTTCAATTCCTACCACTGAACTACCCACAGAAAACCCTACTCTTGTTTGAGGAAGGGAGAACAAAAGAGGGGAGAGGCAGGAAGGAGAGGAAAGGGTTTCTTCACCGTTAATGACAGTTTGGGTTTTTATTCTTGAGATTTTTCCCTCTGCCTTCTACTTTTTTATCTTCTTCTTTTTCTTACATTTTCTTTTACTTTCTTTTAAGTTGGTAACATACTTTTTTAAGGACTTTAACATTTTTTTTAAGGGGACTTATGTCTTTATTTTTACCCAAGCTATCGCCTAGGCACATGGCTGCCTAGGGCACCTGTCTAGGCCCCTTCAATTCGGTGGCCTGCCTAAGATTGCTTAGGCGGCTTGAGTGGTCATCGTTTTGAACACTGCCCAAAACTCCCACTTTGTAGGGTCCCTCATAGTAAGTGTTAAGATTTTGTAGCCTTTAAAGGCCATGAGAGCATGTAAATATAAATTCTAGTGGATTATACACTTCAAAGGGAGTGTGTGCGTTAGCTGACTAACCTAGGGTTGAGTGGTCTATGGCACTGGTCTCTTACTCATGGGCATATGGCACTACCAAAAAGGGTTTTCAGATGGTCATTCCTTTTGGAGCGAAGAGATATCTAGGGATGGTTTGTAGGCTAGGAATGCTTTGCGGTCTCATGTGTGTAGATTTAGGCATGTGAGAGCGAGGGAAAAATTGATGCAAACGGAATCAGGGAAATTAAATCCGGTCTTCTTTTGATCTTAAAAAGTAAAAATTTCAACAATAATGGAGGAATAATGTGGCTAACATTGGAAGAAGAAACTCTATTTCTTCATTCATAAAAAAAATCTCTACAAGATATCCAAGTTCCTCTCTAAGGGGAAAGTTCCACCTTAAATACAAGCCAAAAAGAAATAATAAGAAAACCAAAATTTAGACTCTCTCTCTCTCCCCCACATTAATCTCTCTCTATCTTTGACCACATCTTCCCCTCAAATCTTAATTCCCATAAAAATAGGAACCTTTTTTTACCTTATCAACTCCTCCACATCTCACCCATAACTTCACGTACAAACCGAATAAAATAACAACTAATTAAATCCTAAGTAAATACCCCTTTCCAAACTTTCCTATTCTCTCACATAGATCCTCTTTTATACAAAATTTCTATACCCCTTACGTGATCAACCCTCTCCCATCATTCTCTTTCTATTTATCTAACAATCCTACCTAGAATAGGATCATGGAATCATACAAACTAGGAAATCTATCAAGCCCATCCTAAATAAAATGAAAAACCATTTTTAACCCCTCTATGAATATCTCTAAAATTCAGTCCCAACAATAAATAAAAATAAGAAAAGAAAAAAATAAATATCTTAGATGCGATTTGCATCATACTCCCGGTGGTTGGAAAAAAACTCGTTTCGAGTTTTTGTTGTGGCATCATCGACTTCACTTAGCCGATGGTGAAGTCCAACATCCCCACGCAAATGTTCTTTGTAAGGCATGAGATTGAACACTCTAAATAATAAATAAATTATCCATCTAAATAAATTATCCATCCACCCAGCCAATTCCAGGACAAGCATCCAAACACATTCAAATATGGGTGCACGGAATATGCTCTTCGACTAATTGTATCCTCCAATTGATTAAAGAAACATCTTTTTTCCAACCGGCTTTCTTCTTTTTAGGTTTCTTCTTTATCTTGAACTCTTGCGATAACAATGCCTTGAGTTGTATGTTATCAATTTGCTACGAAGGTTGCAACTCTTGTTGTAGATCTGGCATGACCCTTGTTATTTCATTGTATCTCATTCTTAGGATCTACATGAGCTTTGTTATTTCATTGTATCTCATTCCCACAAGGCAAACATTACAATCAAGACATGCAGCTTTCAAGGTAGTCAACATGGTTTTGCTAAAAGCCTATGTAGCCAACTATCACATAAATCGTCTCAGAAAGCTTGTTAAAAGGTAAGTTCCCTTGTGTAATTTCTAGAGGAGATTTCCCTGCAATTATAGCATAAAATCACATGACCATCTTTTGTTTTAGCAATTATTAAGCCATTGTGGAGAATAATAACAAAGAAAAACTGTGTGAGTTTCTGTACTCCCCCCTTGAAAGTTATCACCAACATCCTCCTTGCATTCTACAACAATACAACTGGCATGTGTACAAATACTTTGTTGATCAACATCAAGGGCTTCAAGCACACATCCAATAAACCCTACCCATTCACATCGCAAACCAAAAAGTAGATGCTTAAAACTCATACGATTGTGCCTACGCTGACAAGCTTCCCCAAGGAAAAAATTTAACACGTCAAGATAAATTTTCAAAACATGCGTGGCACATGGAAATGTTATCTCTACAGTAGAAAGATCATTGTCTCTTGCAATAATTTCCTCAATCTCTACATAAGCACCTTTCATGTTATTTCTCATGGACATCAAGACTTTGATTGCAAAACCAGTCCCTTCACTTGTAGGGCCATATAAGATTTGTTCAGTTCCAACAAAGCTGACAAAGAGATGACTCATATCTTCTTGTGCATGCATAATAACTTCTTTCATGAATGCCATCAGATGGACTTCGTACTTGACTAGGAGGCTTTTCGTGGTAATTAACATCAAATCTAATTCTAGTGCATTGACCAAACATCCACATACTCCCAGCACAAACTATCATCCCTACATCTCTTGAACATGCCAAATCAGCAACATTAATAAGTGAATGCCACACAAAATGATATTGTTGAAACCATACTTCAAAGATTTCACACCAATTATGAAATGGTTCCAATAAACGACTAAACCATCCAAATTTATCATAACCATTCCACACATCATGGTTAGGCTTTTTCAGAACAAACAATCAATCACAACTCACCATGTTGGTACCAACACTCTCATCACCTCTACTAGACAACTCTAATGCGCACACATAATATTTACCACCGGCACCAACATTAACCACATCATCAACTACAATCTAGATATCATCAACCTTTTCCTTAATAAGTTGCCGAATAGAGAATCCAGCCACACCCTCCTCTTTAAAAGATTCAGGTGGAGTCTCATCACTTAATGGCAACAAAGATAATTCATGTCTGACCATTGACAATTTGCTTTGATCCAAAACTATTATCTTTGTTTTCTCATCTAATCCCAAATCTCATTTCATTGTAGTCAAGGGTTGCTCTTCCATGTTCACTGGGAGGGAATCATTTGAAAATCCAACATTGCCTTCAACAGAAACAATGTTAAAGTCAACATTTCCTTATGATCAATACAATGCTGAATTTTTTCACTATCAGATTTATAATCCTCCATACTTTTATCCATAAAAGTACTAGGCATATCCCTAACTATCTCTTCTTTTTCAGCAGATTGATCTACAATTACATCTACTCATTTCTCATTAGATTGAAGACCCTTTGTGCCTTTCAAAGCATCAACCTCTCTAGTGGAAAACTTAGGATTTTTATTTACCAAGAAATCGCATATCTTTTGGTGTTTACTTGTGTGATGCTCAGGTCATAGATTTGTTGTAGGCATAACAACTCCCCGAATTGGATGCGTTAGTCTCCTAGCTTGGGATGATCCAACTCTAGGGGTCGATCTGGATGTAACAAAATCCTTTATTTGCTCACTTCTAAACTGATTTCGGTCTACTCCCTTATACCAATCATATCGGCTTTGGGGTAGTCGATTACCCAACTTTTCTCTGCATTCATGCCCCCGTCGATGTCGTCATGCATCGAACCCATAAGTGCGATCAAGCATAATACCAAGCCGTTCCCACTCAAACTCGTGCTCTGATTTACGCCGATTTCCACTAGAACTCGCACAATATGGATCTGACACCGTAGATCTCATCATGTTTGATGTGTGATATTGCAATCTCTCTTTTTGCAACAACTTTTCAACCATCTCCGTCAAGTTGTCGATTTTCTTGTATATTTGGTCATGCTTGGCATTTCTACGGTTGCGACCTCCGCGACCATCCATTGTAGATCTTTTCGAACCATGCTCTAATACCAAATGATGCAAAAGGAATCCAATAAATAAATCCGGTCTTCTTTTGATCTTAATAGGCAAAAAATTCAACAATAATGGAGGAATAATGTGGCTGCCATGGGAAGAAGAAACTCTATTTCTTCATTCATAAAAAAAAAATCTATACAAAATATCCAAGTTCCACTCTAAGGGAAAAGCTCCACCTTAAATACAAGCCAAAAAGAATTAATAAGAAAACCCAAAAATTAGAATCTCTCTCTCCCTTTCCCCCATGTCAATCTCTCTCTCTCCCCCACGTTAATTTCTCTCTATCTTTGACCACATCTTCCCCTCAAATCTTAATTCCCATAAAAATAGGAATCTTTCTTTTTACCTTATCAACTCATCCACATCTCACCCATAACCTCACATACAAACCCAATAAAATAGCAACTAATTAAATCCTAACTAAATACCTCTTTCCAAACTTTCCTATCATCTTTTATACGAAATTTCTCTACCCCTTACGTGATCAACCCTCTCCCATCATTCTCTTTCTATTTATCATACAAACTAGGAAATCTATCAAGACCATCCTAAATAAAATAAAAATCCATGTTTAACCCCTATATAAATATCCCTAAAATTCAGTCCCAACAATAAATAAAAATAAAAAATAAAAAATATCTTGGATGCAATTTGCATCATAAATTCTCAACAAACTTCCGCACGACATATATACATGACAGCCGTATTCCCGAGAAGCAACCTTGAAAATGGAAATGGGTATATGCTCTCACTATAGTGATATGTGTGTAATACTTGATCTTAAGAGGGGATTCGAGGTTCCACTATTTATTGGTCAACTTTGATGAGACAATTATGAGCCCCTGCATGATAGCGCAAGTCATGGGTCTCGTTGGATCAGTTTGAGAAAATAGTCAACGATCATGGCTACTAGATTGAGTGGAGTGCTTAACAGTCACTTAGCCTAACCCATTGGCACCAGTCCACTTCTAGATATTTAGTTTTTCTCTGTACAAAACATTTTTGTGAATTTAAAAAAAAAATCAGAATTTTAAAAATTAGTTTTAGCAATAAAAACCCTCAAAAGGGCATTGTAAAATTCTGGAATTATGGAGGGGTGGAGTGGTACACGTGGGGGGGCCATGGATCCAGGCCACGTGTGGCAACACCCACATGAGCAGGGCGCGGAGCCCTTGGGGCCAACATTGCACACACGGGAGGCGGCATGCCCCCTCCTCTCTCTACAATACTTTGGTTTCTTATTTTTCTTTTAAAGGTCTTTGGTTAGTTAGAAAATCTTTTGAAAGGATAATATGTCCTTATTTTGTGGGAGTTAGTTGTTTGAAAATATTGTTTGTATCTTAGACCAAATCTTTTATTTTTCAAAATATTGTTTCTATCTTTGACCAAATCTTTATTTTGACTTCTTACAATTTTGTTAGAGATAAAGGAAGTTCTTGAAGATTATTTTAAGATTGGTCTGATCTTAGTTTGATTAGAAGTGGACATGGGTCAAAGATTTAGGAGATAAGGTTCCTAGATTCTTCCCTAAATCATGATGCTTATGGGATGGATGGCTCACATACTTCCCAAAAATGCTATTGATCATGATGAGTCATAATTTGGATAGGCACACCACTTGAGACCTATATAAGGAGGGGACCCCCCTCATTCTCCATACATTATTTCTAGCCTCTCTCTCTCTACTTTCTCCTCCACCCCCACTCTCTCTCTTCTCGCTCTTGTTCTCCCTTTTTCTCTCTAAGTGGACGCACCCCCTATAAGGTTGTAGGGGTGGCATGCACCACCCATTTAAGATAAAGAGGTAAGGGGCAGGCCCAGCCCTTGATTTGAGGGGAGATGCCAAATAGTGGCATGCCCTAAAGGTTCATAAAGGGATCCAGGAAACCCTAATTGTGGTACAATCTCATAAAACCTTAATTTGTGAGGTATTACCTAAGGAAGCTTCCTGGCTCCAAAAATCCACCAAGGCCAATAGAATCAGAGTACCATAGGTTAGAAAATCGAGTATGGGGTATACAAAGTCCTATGGGGGTGACCCTAGGGAATTTCAAGTAAGTCTTCCCTGTTGTTTTCTTTTATTTTTCATTTTCAGTCATCTTTGCTTGTTTAGTTGAATTTCTAGGAAAATTAACTGTACTAAAATTGTTAGTGGAAGTTTGTTTTTTATTCCTAGATTGTGTCTACCCCTTTTGGCAGTAAAGGTAGATCCCAATTGTAGTTAGGATTTTATTTCTTGTTTACAACAGTGTATTTTGGCAATTGTAAGTAGCTTTCAAATACATTAATAAACGAAGAAAATAAATTATTTTTTATTTTACTCCCTTGAATTCCACATAACCACTCCTTTCAATAAGCGCCTAAAGTCCCTACTCCTTCACTCCATAGGGTCATACTCTAGTTGAGTGCCACATCTCCCTACCCTTAATTGTGGCTTCATATATTTAGAATAGACATAAGGCTGTACTTATGTGCCCTGAATAATGTATTTCATCAAGCTTATTGACTCTTTATACAAATGTTTTGATACAATTTCCCCATATACTATCATCAAATGAAGTACCACATCAATTAATAGAGCCATTAACTTTATTTGACAGTTAACAACCCATTTATAATGGAAATATTTGCATCTGGTTTCACTTACTGGTGCAGAAAATGCTAACATACACATCAATTTTGAGAAAAGAAAAAAAAATACAAAGGGGGGGAAAGCAAAAAACAAACAGTGAACATAGAGGACACACTAGGAGAGTTTAAGAGGGAAGGATGAGTCGCCCAAAGAAACACTAATAGCTCCTAATTCCCTTCCTTAGCAAGGCAATCAGAGTCTCCATTAAATTCTGTCCAGGTATCATGGAAAGAGATATCCACTAATCCACAAAGTCAGATAACTTCCTCCATAAAATACATTAACAACCACAGAAAACCATATTCCATGCTCAAATACATTAAAACTAGCGAAAAAACTGACAAATGGGCCAAGGAATTTCTTATTAAAACTACTTGAGTAAAATTCATTAGTAATCTAAATATACTCTCATGTCCATTAAAGTTTACCACAACTAAAAATAAAATCCTGAACTTTAAAACAATTACAAAAACCAAATGAGGTTAATGGATACCTTATACAGAGAGTATTTATATAATCTTTGCTTGTGTGACCATAAGTCATATATACGCTGAAGCCTGTGAAGATCATGCTTGGGGCCTTTGATTTGCCTAATAAGCTCCAATGCGGCCTATTGTACAATGGGAACAACATTAAATCAACCCAAGTCCTCTGACAAGTTAAATTTGAAAATAAATAAATAAAGAGTAATAAGCACATAAAAATCATGAAAGCACCCCTTCTTAAAACAAATTATTTTTTTTGCATTATTAGGATCACCAGAATCGAAAACATATTGAATTAAAACTACAATCATAAGACGCGTCACTGCAATAACATGAACCACAAATGACATGCATTCTTTTTAAAGCAACAGTTTCTACCAATTTCAAATGATCCAACAAAATTAAGATGATGATTTATTAATATAACAATGAAGAAAAAGGACCATACAATTAACAAAAGAAGCCGAAAAGTAGATGTGGTATTATAAAATTCCAAACAATCATGAAGAATGCACTGCACCATAGAGAAAATCCCCAATAGCACGGACGCTCTAAAAAGTCAAGACTACTAATCCTTACAGTACATTTTATCAAGTTCTTAAGAACAATTAAAATGAAGAAAGGAAAGGAAATTATAGTTACCATGGAGAAAAGAAAGAAGAAACTCCAATTATAGAAATATATTCAACCAAAAAAAAAGGAATAAATAAAACACAATCAATAAGGATTCAAATGGTAAAATTACCGAATACTTCCTTCGATTCTGGAAAGGAGCCTTATGATTATGCGTCCCTTGCATGTACAAACTAAGCACACCTGCTGCTTCCTTCCATTTGTGCTTTCTCATCAATTTGTTCAAAAGATGCCTTAGCGCAACTTTATGCTCAAAAGTTATTACCCTATTATAGTGGAATGCACGGTGCTTCTTATTATTGCGAGAAGTAATTTCCGCTCTCCTATAACGACAATGTTCATTTGCAGCACGCAAACCCATGTCTTCAACAAGTTCAACAAGCTGAAAGTACAAATGATCAAATGATTTATTAGGATCAAGGTTCAATAATTAGGGGGGAGGGGGAGACACGATGGCTATAATGGATGACTTGAGAGAAGTGAATTTCAAAGAATATTTGGCAAGATGGTAAATTTTACCTTTAAAAGTTTTTGAAATGATCTACATAATGGATAACAGGTTATATAACTATGAAACTGCAGCAGAAGTCCTGTAGTAGTAGTGCTGGTGGCATTAGTGGTGATGATGGTGAATATATGGTTAATAATATGTAAATAAACGGTGCAATTGTATGCCTTTACAGAGCATGAATTTCAGAAAATGAAATGAAATACAAGAAACAAAGTTGTAGGAATAGGTATACTTTAATTTTTTGAGACTGAAAAGATTGGAGAAAATGGCTTAAAAAATCCTCTGCTTAAAAAAAAAAAAAAAAACTGGTAACATGTCTTCAAATCTGAAGAAGAAAAATTTCATTCTAAAAAAAAAAAAAAAAAAAACCTTAGAAGGGGGGGGGAAATTGGAACATTCAAAGTTTCCAACGTAAGAATGGCTGACCATCAAGTAAGTTAAACAAAAGTATAAAATTAATCATCTTGAACAGCCTGAAATTTAGAAAAAGTATCAAAAAAATTGCAAAATTGAAAAAAAGTACCATGCGATCATGAAAACTGAGTACTCAGCACATGCTACAAGCAGACGAAATATCACAGCTTATAAACAACCAAATCAGCAATTGCCAATAAAGTTATAGGACAAAGATGCATTGTGCTTAAAAGCATGAAGATTAGTATGAGAACATAATAAATTTCAAGCGAAAATCAAGCACAATCCGCTGTCCACAAAATTCAACCGATGAAGAGCATGACCAGGATTTGGACTTTAGATTTTTCATATTTCCGTATTGGGTGTCTGATTAGAAATAGAAGCATGGAATCTTTAGGGTTTGGTTTTGGAAGTTAGGGTCTAGAATTTAGAAGAAACAGGGATTTCGGTTGTGGAATTTATAGGGTTTTAGTTTGTTTGACAGAACAGAATTTTGAATATTTGGTATTCCGAAAATTTGAATGCCATTAATCACACTTCTTATTTTTGGATTATAATTATCTTAATATATGTTTTCTTGAACATGGTTGACTGTCCACCTGTACTTCAAAATTTTCACATATTTAAAATATTTTACTCTTTGGCTAAATAAATTACAATTTATTGATCGTTCCTTATTGGGCACATATTTGATTTTAATCTAGCTTGTGCTCTCTCGTCATTAAAAATGGACGCTAAACATTTAAAGTAGACATAAATGCTAAAAAACACAAAATCAAATGATTTTGAGAGCGAGGATTCTATTTAAGTAAAAAAGATAAGTCAATCAAATGACTATTATATCATTTGATTGCCCAAAACTACGAAGTCCCATGTACTTCCACATTCTTTTTATTCAATAGCACACTATGCCTTATAGTGATATTCAGTTTTCATGCTCAAGATCTTAGGAGTATAAGAGAGAGAGGGAGAGAGAGAGTTTGTTGGAGCTGAAAGCTTATTGGCATTCTATATGAAAAAATAAAATTCAATTTGAACTCTTCACTCTAACTGTATGGGACCGAAACAAAAAACAAAAACATGACAAATTAATTCAAAGGATCACATAAAATATATATGGCTGCTTTACTTGGATCTTCCAAGCTGATTAGCTGTGTGATGTCAAATTGCAACAACAAAACACATTGTGCAACACAATGTGCAAAGTCCAAATACGTAACCATCCATGCTTCACAATCTAGAGGTAGGGTTCTCTAATGGAGCCTAAGATTGTGTTTTTGCGCAGAGAGGTAAGGTGGGGTTTGTGGAAAAAGAGGAAGGGTGCCTGTAAATAGGCTTTGGTTTATGGGATTGGTGTAAAAGATGTGACACGTTTGGTAGAGAGAGGAAGAGGAGAGAGACAAAGGAACAATGCAAACAGATTGAATAGTGGAGGAGTAAGAAAATGAAGCAAAAAAGACCACAGACAAATATATTTTAAGGCTCATTACACAAGAGAAAAGGTAGAATTACAAACTTCAGCATGAGATTATCTCACTTGTCTGTTGGTGCCAAAACACTCATCCAAGCAATTACAAATTTAAAATAGTTGCAATACTCATTATGCTCCCATCCATTCTCTCAAATGTGTGAAGGCCCAAAAATCACCACCAAAGTTTACATTAAGAAAGCCATAGAAAAATGTGTTTAGGCAGGGAAAAGATTACTCAAAACCCCAACAAATCAAAAAACTATTATAAACACGAAAGCAATAAATTTTTTTGGAGAAGATCAATTGCTGAGAAATTTCCTAAAAAATAACTACCAAAAATTACAGTTTGAAAATCAGAATAAAACATATTATTTTGCATATGATCTCAATGAGGGTGAATGGTAAGTTCTATAGGGAAGTGGTGAGACCAGCTTTGCTCTATGGGGCGGAATGTTGGGCGGACAAAAACAATATACCCATAGAATGCGTATAGCAGAAATGATGATGTTGAGATGGATGAAATGGCAAGACAAGAAATGATAGAATTCGCAATGAATCTATTCAAGATAATTTAGACGTGAAACCAATAGGCGATAAAATGAGAGCGAGTAGATTTAGGTTTGGTTGGCCATGTGTGGCGCTGACTAAGTACAACATCTGTTAAGAGGTGTGAATTAGTTCAAATGGAAAAGCTGAAAAGGGTAAGGGATATGCCCAAAAAGACGTCGTTGGAAGTAGTCTGAAAAGATATGCAGACTTATGGCCTCACTGATAATATGGCCTTTAATAGAGTTGAATGGTGAACCACGATTCATGTACCCGACCCCAATTAATTGGGAAAGGGCTAAAATGATGATGATGATGATAAAGCATCTTAAAAAACCCAATGAGCCAAATATTCTGAAAACAACAAAAAGAACAATGGTTTGGCATCAATCAGCTGTTGATAAACTAAACACCACCGAATGAATTTGTAAGAGTACCAACCAAGTTTTGCAACATAGTTATCAAGACCGGACCCAAGTAGTGGTTCGAGTGGTCGAACCACCTACTGGTGCTTTATCTAGTATAATTCAAGGTAAAATCTGGTTTGGTTAAAAAATGGACAAAACCAATGTTTGCCAGCTTGTGGTTGGACCAGCCTATTTTAACAGCTTTGACCAACTAAATGAAATTGGGTAAATTTTGTAATATATTTTATGATTTATCATTTATATCATTTTTTCTTTTCTTTTTTTTAAATCTAGTCCAACATATCCGACCAATGGTTAGACTGATTTGCTTTTGGACCAAACCCCTAATCAGTTCGATAGGGGTCCAATCCTAGTAACACTCGTTTGCAGTCTAAAAATCAAAACAACTACTATTAAATTATTTTCAGGAGTTCACCAAGTATTTATACCCAAAATAAATAAATACTAAAAGACCACAAAATCTAACTCCAAGGAAACCAGATTATTTTTTGATTCGAATGTTTATCGACTACTAATAAAAATACCAATAAAGCACGACGAATCCAGCATAAGGAGAAAGAGAAAATTAATGCACGGCTCTTGATGTTTCATGTTTGGGTCGTAAAAGACTGAAACCACTTGAGAGCTGGGGATGTTCCTCACATTCTCTCTCTAAACTACAATCGAAACTTTGAATGGTTTATTTTTCATCCACTCTCTCTCTAAAACCAGAAAGAACACAAAAAATGAGAAGGATGAGGGTTTAGAGAGGGAGAGGATGATTTGAGAGGAATGGGGTTTTGGACACAAAAATCGCGGGGAAATAGAATAAAAGCAAACTACAATCGACACTTTGTGTGGTTGATTTTCCAACCACTCTCTCTTCTAAAACCAGAAAGAACAATGAAAATTGAGAAGGATGGGGGTTTAAAGAGAGAGGATGATTTAAGAGGAATGGGGTTTTGGACACAAAAAAAGCGGGGAAATAGAATAAAAGCAAAAAGTCTCAGAGAAGACAAAGTCTAGAGAGAGAAGATTCTTGAGAGAGGGAAAAAAGGGTATGAGAAAGAAAGTACCTTAGAGAGAGAGAGAGAGCAAGGTTTGCGCAGAAGACCCTTTGGTGCGAGCGATGAGAGAGGGAATCCGCTGATATGGAAGTTTGAAAAATGAGAAAATGTTACTTGACTGACCAGTGTCGTTCAAAATCATGCTAAGATGATCCATTCTCCCTAGGGAGTATATACTGTCCATTTACTCCCCGGGTAAAGCCCTGTCTAGGAGTACTTAGTCTTCCATAATTTGGGGATGAAACTTCTCTCCCTATAAAATCCTAAGGAAACTTGTATCGTGCGGCCTGGATTGCATTTCTACACGTGCAATCCTCAATCCATAAAACATACATCTTAAAGATAGATACAAGTAAGCGGTCCATCTCAAAACAATAGAAACTATCGGTCTAAATGTTTTATTATTAAAATTATTATTTCTAGTTTTTTAAATTTATTTATTTTTTATATTCATGATCTCCATGTTAGATATTACATGTAATTAAAAATTAAGTCTTAAAACCTATCTCAAAAATAAATTTATTAAAAAGCCCGTATTTCTACATATGCGGGCTTGGACAAATAGAAACCAGATCCAAAACCAAATTGTATTATTTTTGGGCTTTAATAAAATAATAACTTGAAATTGAATAGAAATATTCTAATATCGAAACAAGAGATTGGGTCATAAAAAAACTCAAAATTCAAAATTTTTTCTTTTTAACATAATCATATAATGATTTTTAGGTAGTTGAAAAAAAAATTGTATATAAAATTTCTTCTTGAGTGGATCTTGTACCCTAAGGAGTAAATGTACAGCATACTCCCATGGGAACATAGTATACACACAGGGCATGGTAAGCCTTTCTCTTTTTTTTGCGATTTTTTTTTGTTCTTTTCTTGGTGATTTTCGTTACATCCAACTTCCTCCATTGGAAGCCTAAAGGATTAGAGGCATTTCCGTCATTTTAATACATCAGAGTAAAATAGAGGTATTTATGCATTAATTCCTCGTAATTATGCTGTCTTAATAAATGAGTTTTCCTAATTTATACTCCTTTTTTAATTTGTTTATTTTATTCTAAGTGGTTATTGCTTTTGATCTTCAAAAAATGAGAGATTAAGTCATATGACTTTGGATTTTGAAAATTCCAACCTATCCCCTTGTATACCCCTTTTCACCTTAATCTTTTTATTTTTTCTAGTTTGCAACCACCTCACCACCTCCAAATGTACCGGATGTTAAGCTATGTGATTTCATATCAAATCATAGGGATGATCTAGTGTGAAATGCTAGCAATTTGGGGAAAAAATAAAGAGAATAAATGGTACGCACAAAAATTAGAAAAATTGGGGGAAATTTTTTAAAGAACGATAGTTGTGGAGGACAAATCGATATATCTATCATGATAATACCCATACTGTTAAAGTTTAGTACCACTTGATGTTATTTTTTTCGTTTAGTACTTCCATTCAATGATGGATGAGTGGCCATGCAATAATAGATGAAATTCGAAATAAATATATTAAGGATAACTTAGATATGGCTCCAGTAAACAATAAGATGAGATAAAATAGACTGGGTGGGCTGGTCATGTGCAGTACAAACCCAATACAACACTTACTACGAGATGTAAGTTAGTTCAAGTGGATGACTCAAAAAGAGCAACGGTAGCCTAAAAAATATATGGTTTGAAGTATTGATAAAATATATCGAGACTTATGACGTCACTGAGGATAGGGCATTTGATAAAACATAACAACATACCAGGATTCATGTAGGAAACCCAAACAGTTGGAAAAAAACTCTGATAATGACGGTATGTAGCCCCATGCTATTTTCATACAACAACCATGAGTATTTTTGTTAGGGCCCTCACAAGTAAATATGCCCTCATGGTTCAAGCTTGAAACATTGAATGGGGTAATTTGAGATTTAAAAAAAAAAAAACTATGAGAGGTACTTGAATATAAAGAAACTTGAAAACATATATTGAAGTGGTAAATGAGATGTTTTGATTTTGTAAAGCGACATGTTAAACTTAAAGTGATGTTTCATTTTAAAAATAAAAAGGAAATTTTGCAATAATTTTTTATCATAGAAGTAAATAATAGTCTCTTATATTTTATAGGAAACTGGACGTTGGAAGCCTTTATAACCATCCGTATTTTAAAATAACATGCATTTTATGCTGATGTCCTATATTTTCAAATTTTTTATTTATTTTGAAATGCTTGTTCCAAACCTCCTACTCGAATTCTATCAAATTTAACATATATTACAGGAAAATTTATCAAGCTACCCATGAGAGATACACATTTGCAACTATATGGGCATTTTAAAACTAAATTAAGCTATACATGTAAAATGTTAAATAGTTAATCTGTTACAGGCATTTTGATAAATTTTCTTAAATTATAAAATACTTAGAATTATAGTAAAGATATAAATGCTATCGGGTACTAATCAATGTTCTTGCAATGGAAAGGTCAAACAAACCTAAGAAAAGAAGCACATACCAATTACAATGCTATGGAAGAAGCACCGATGTACTATATAAGGAATATGTACCTTCAATATCCAACACAAACGAGCATTTTGAAGTTGGAAAACCTTCGAATTAATCATCTCAACTTCAAAGTTTATGAATAGTAAAAAATATATCAATTTTTTAAAATAATGCTTATTGTAACAAGTTATACATTTTCAAAATTTTATTTGTTTGTATATTTGCTAAATCTGCACTATTTTTTAAACGATGGAGTTTATCAAGCTACCCATGAGAGATACACATTTGCACTATATGGGCATTTTAAAACTAAATTAAGCTATACATGTAAAATGTTAAATAGTTAATCTGTTACAGGCATTTTGATAAATTTTCTTAAATTATAAAATACTTGGAATTATAGTAAAGATATAAATG